TGGGTATTGAGGAGGGCACGTTCTGCATGGAGCACTGGGTGTTATACACAAACAATGAATCATGGAACACTTCATCTAAAACTAATGATGTACTGTATGGTGATTAACATAACATAATAATAAAAAGAAATAAAATGAGGCTTATAATAGTGGGAAAACAAAAAAGAAGTTATCCTCTTCCCAGAAAAATGCTCCCTCTTCTTCTCTCTCTCTCTCTCTCTCACACACACACACACACACACACACACTTACATAAAATCCCAGGGGTCAGCGCCCTTCTCAAGCCCGTCAGAACTGCTGCTCTTGAGGCTGAGAAGAGAAGACCTCTGGGAGAGTTTTCTTCTGCCCTGGGGATCCCCTACCACCCCCACATACCTGATGGCGGACATCGTGCACTTTTTGAGCCGTTACTGCCAGAGGCACCTTGAGCAGAGAGAGGAGGGCGAGTCGCGGGGACAGGCTGAGCATGAAGCTGTAGAGCCCCACCACTTTGACCAGGCTTCGCAAGAACACGTTGGCATTAAGAGCCAGCCAGCTGCTCATCAATTTGGTATCCGAGTTCAGCCTCGAATTCAGCTCCCCTGGGGACGACAGAGCCGGTGAGGAAACCATGCGTAATGCAGAACCCCCAGAGACTGACCCCAACCCTCCCCATTAACACAGGCCCGTCTTCTAAACACCCCCCCGCCCCGTCACCGCAGAGACTGGGGAGGCGACCTCACTGCCCCATCCCAAAAGAGAACTCAGCAGCTCCTCAGCAGCGCCTGGCACAGTGAGCGGAAGAGAGGCTATTTACGGGCTGGAGGGTAACTGAGGGGCAAGAAATGTCCAGGGGAATCCCAGACCCGGACTCCAGGCCCCACCTGTCTTAGTATCCTGGAAGAAACTGAGGTCCTGGCGCAGAAGGGAGGAGAAAAGCAGCTGCCGGACCCGCACATTGATTCTGGACATGGTGAAGGTGAAGCAGCTTCCCCGGCAGCCGGCACACAGTGAGCTGTGGGGGAGGGAGGGAACGGGGGATGAAGGGGACACAGGTGCACAGGAGGGAACGAGTGCGAGAAGCAGAGGAGAAAGCACAGAATGAAAAGAAATACAAGGCTGGGGAAAGTGTACCATGAGAGGCAGAAGAGAGGCAAAGAGAGAAGGAGACAAGGGGAGGGGCCGGAACAAACAGAGGGAAGAAAAACAGGACAGGGAGAGCTAGATGTGGGAACAAAATCATAACACATACAAATTCACGAGTATCTGTGCAGCTCACTCCGTGCTAGACCCAGGGAAGACTATAACAGAAATGAAGAGATGTTGTCCAGAGAAATAGCCTATGACCTCCTTCAGTGCTGTCCCTCTACTCTCCCCCTCTGTCTTGGTCTCTTTCCTCCCCCCAAAGTCCTTCTTCCTACTTTATTGTGGGAACTGCAGCAATGAGTTCCCTTGCCCTCCTCTGGAGCCCTGGAGACATGCTGTTCCCTCATCTCTATTGTCCCTGGAGTTGAGCATTCCTCTTAGGCCAACCATTTATACAACTAAACTTAAAGGGAAAGTGTGAAAACACAGAAGCAAGTATTTCACAAAATATGGTTTCTGTGTTTAGAAGGTTGTTGGGCTAGTCAGACATAAAATGAGGAGAGTTTGAACTCCAGCGATCACAGTGAGAATGGCCAGAAAAGCACCACAGGAGAAATACTTTGAAAGCAGAAAATGATGGGGCTAGTGTCTGAACATCAGAAAGGCATCAACAATACTGATGCTTGGAGCCCAGGAAACTGATTGTTTCGTACATGGGAATAAAAGAGGGAGGCACTTTCAACAAGACCAGGAGGGAGTGTGATACATTTGAAGCTCTGGGTGTGTGGAGTGTAAGATGACAGTGGGTTGTCCAATGGGAATGTCAAGAAGACAACTGGACTACAAGACTAGAGCTAGGTGTAGAAATAGGGGTCTGGGAGTCACTTCTGAGGAACTGGTTTTAGCAAAGAGTAGCAAGTATGGATTAGAAGCATAATGTTGGGTAAATATGATGAATGAAAGAATGAACGGACGAATGTGTGAAATAGAATGGCGAATAAACAAATTCACACATATTTTGGTTGAAGTATTTTATGCTTCGTGTACTAAAGGATCTGAAAACAGAGTTAGGAAATGCAAGGGGTCTGTAAAGATGAAAGGCTAGCAAATGAACCCAATCAAGCATCACCTACCTCCCAATGGAGAAGAGACACATGAAAAAGATGGTGCTGGCAAAGGCATCAGGGTCGAAATCACCTCTCAGGATGTCAATGACATGACCTGAATAGTAAGGGATGACTGTCTCACCTGAAAGAGGCATGAAGGAGAACAGATGAACATGCTGGCACCAAGGGCCTTTGCCCACCTCCAATTCCCAATTCAGCAACAGGAAGATCCTGACTCACCCAACACGGCAATAATAAGGAAGAAGAAGGCTGCAACAAGGTAAGGCACGTCCGGCCAGGAGAGCTTCAGCAGCCTCCACATCAAGTCTGTGTTGTTCTCCTGGCCCTGCTTCCTCTCCCGGGCTCCTGGGGAGCTCAGCAGAGCCCACATGGCCCAGCTTAGCCACGCAGCTGCATACCCCACCAGCAGCCAGCTCCAGGGGACTGAAGCCACTCTGACTGGGGGAGCACTCAAGGCCCTTGGGACCAGGGCCCTCAGGGAGAGAAACAGCGGGGTCCCCAGGCAGAGCGGGGGCAGCAGTGTTCCCACCAATCCCAGCAGTCCTCCCACCTTTAGCAGCCACCAGAGCCCTCCAAGTCGCAGGGTCCCCTCCAGCCACAGGCCTGGAAGCCCCGGGGGAAGGAGAGCCCCCAGAGTCCCCTGAAGCAGCCAGAGTAGAGCCAAGTCTGCCAGCAGCAGGAAGGCGCAGGGTCTCAGGTCAGGGAACCGCATGGTGTTATCTAGGGGTAGAAAATGAGGAATTACAGCGCTGGGGTCCCCATCCTCGCCCCTATGCTCACCACCCCGACTCCGCTCAACCCGTCCATCGGCTTCTCATTTTATCCACCCCTACCCTGAATGATCCCCTGGGTCCCCAGTGCCCTTCAGTACGGCCCGCTTATGACAGAAGGCATTCTGCCTGTCAGAGGGAGCCTCATCCTTTAAAAAAAAAAAAAAAAGTGACCCCCCTCTCCCCCTACGCCCCACCCCCACCCGCCCGCCGCCGCCCAGTTCCGAGGAGCCGCCCTGCGGTCCCCGCCCGGCTCCCTTGCACTCCCCGGGAGGCCGGAGGGACGGGAGGCGGGGGGCGCGGAGTGGGTGGCGGGTTGGGATGCGTCGGTTAGCGCTCCAGGCTTCCGGCCACACGAACTCACCCGCGGCGGCTTCGGGACTGCAGCTCCGGGGGGTCGTCTTTCGGCTACGTGCTGAGCACGGAGCTCTGAAATCCGCTCGCGCTGGCTCACCTTCGTTTCCCCCTTCTGTCTGCTGGCGGCACTCTGCAAGCGGGGGCGTCCTGGCGCCCGCCGCTTTCGCTTTCGCTTTCCCAGACCGGGCCCCGGTTCCGGGCAGGGCGGCCACCAGCGGGGGACGCGCGACACCTGCCGTCCGCGGAAGCCCGGGGCCGAGCCGGGCGCGCACGCGCCCCGCCCCGCAGTGAGCCTCTTGCGTTTAGCAACTGTTACTCTGGAACGGAAAACTCCTGCAAGTGTTTTAAATTGTCATTAACTAAAACAAAGCTACTTCAAGGATTGAGATGTTTTGTAATTGGAGAACCACTGGATTTTCTTGCCTCAAGCTCTGATCCTATTTTGAGAACTGCCTCTTCCTCCATCCAAAGCTCCTGTTTTAGGGTCTGGGATCAAAACAGAGCCAGATTCTGAGCGAGAAACACTCAGGACCTCTCCTAAATAGGAGGTCCCAGACACTTTCACCAGGGCCTAAGTGGGTTTCCACTTACACAGATTTTAAGCTGAAAGGCCCTGATTCTTTATATTCATCTGCCCTCCTCAACACAGCTCCTTGAGCAGAGCTCATGTTCAGGTGCCTCTAGGTGTGTGTTTCAGATTATGTCTTGGGAGTATCTCTGGTATATGGGGAGGATGGACTTTGTTTCCTGGTCTATTTTAACATTGATTAAGCAGTAGACAGGATTCTACAGGTCCTGCCTGACCCAGAGCCCATCTATGGAACATGCTGGTTTGTTTATTCCAGAAATAACTCTTCAGATTGAAACTATCCCCCCAACTCAAAATACCCCCAAAGGAGGGATCGCTTGGATTCCAAACCACGCCTTTGAAATGTTACTGGCATGTTTACCAACGAGGCACTTCTGGTTTAAAGGGGGGAGTGGTGTATTTGAAGTAGAGGATTATTAAAATTTCTCCAACCCTGCCATTCTGAGATTTTAAGAATCTCTCCCTAATGGAAAAAAAAGCTCTCTGTTCAGCTGCTAACTACTTTCAAGCTTTTTCTTTGACTAACTCTCCCTAAGAGGGGACATCATCCATGCTCCTTGCATGATTCAGAAAATCTCATTATGTCTGTCTCATTTTCCTAACCTGCTTACTTTTTCCTCATATTTCCCTCTTCAAGGAGGGAGTCCTCTTCCTCTTCAATCATGGTGCTGTCATCTTGCAATTGAGCATGATACATCATGAAATTGAACCCCTAATGTCCATCTTTGCATTCAATATCCAATATCTCCAAAGTGTTATTTGAGGTAAATGTACCATGTTTCCAATCACCATATACACATGAGGTGGAAGCTTTTTCATCTGACTCCACAACGTCAAAAATAGTTGTTCTAGTACCCTACTCCCAGATACCCAAACCATTGACAATGAACCACACAGGAGTATTCAGGTTGTGTCCCTATAAAAAGGACCCTAATCTAAATTAAATGGCAAATATGTGTCCACAGACCTTGACCAGCCTTCCTGAGGGCATGGAGAGATGAGTGTGGAAGGAAAACCCAACAGAAATATTTGGTGAGGCCCCATTTCTTAGGTTGGGGTTCTGGTCTGTTCTCAGGGAAAGTGTCTCTATTTCCTGCCCCCACCCCACAACAACCCCAGCCCCAAGCCCACTCAGCCACAACACAGAGGCATTTATAACCATTTTCCTTTATTGTGCTTAGTGGGGCACCCAGAGGTTGGGGTAGGGGGAATGCTCCTTGAAACAGAGAACACGCAAAAGGGTAAACTCCACCCTACCCCACTGGCCACTGGTTCTCCCCCTCAGGGCTCAGGTTAAGGCTCCCCTCTCCTGTGGGGTGTAACCAGCCCAGGTTCCTGAGTTGGCCAGGCTCTGCCAGAAAAGGCGTGCCTAGCCACCGCGGTTACTGACTGGTCTCCCGATACTGGAGCAGCAGGTCACTGACGTCTGTACTTTCCACTTTCACCCAACCATCTTCCTTCATGTGGTACACTGTGGGCAAATGAGAGTGAACAGGGAGTCACCTTTCACTCCAGCAAGTTCCTGTTAATGGTGTTATGTGGAAGGTGACAATAACATACTCCCAAACATACGCTCAACACATACTTGTTTACTACAACTTCAGTGCCCCCCTTTGGATGCTGAAAATCTCTTCCCCACGCCTGGGTAACTCAGTCAGTTAAGCGTCTGACTCTTGGTTTTGGCTCACTTCAAGATCTCAGGGTCATGAGATCGAGCCCGCATCAGGCTCCACACTCAGGATGGAGTCTGCTTGAAGTTTCTCTCCCTCTGCCCCTCCCCACACTCGCAGGCGTGCTCTCTCTCTCTCAAATAAATAAATAAATCTGAAAGAAAGAGAAAGAGAGAGACAGAGAGAAAGAAAGAAAACCTCCTCCCTACCACTTTGTCCCCTCTAACTCTCCCAATCTCGGATCCCCCTTCCCCACCCAGGGGTGTGGTAGCATTGGTCTCTTACTGTTGACAACACCTCCGGAATAGCTGTCTCGGTGGGTGGCATAAACAATAGCCCTGCGGCCCAGTTCATAGGCCTCTTCAGGGCTAAGATCAGGCCGATAGCCACTATCCATGACCCCGTAGGCATAGGTGTTCCCGCTGCCAGTGGAGAACATATTTCCTGAGAGCCGAGTCCCATTTGCATTCACATAGTAGAGTCCAGGACCCTATAGGAAGCAAGAAGTTTCCCAGAGGGAGTTTTTAGAAACATACAGGTTCAAGTGTGAGCCATAAAAAGTGGATAAAAGAATAAGAATTACCCGGGAACATTTGAACCAGGACAACATTTTAGTAACAATCATAGACCTTTAGGGGGAAAAAGTGGGAATCGGCTATTTTATCCAAAGGAACAAGCTTACGAAATAATGGTCCACATCTAGACCCAGACATAATAGCCCATGGATATGCTGGAACGGTTCTATAACCCAGTGTTCTATGTGCCACGCATCTTATAGGGGAGGGCGTGGGAGTGTACGATGGGGAACCGGTCTCTTATCCGTCGTGGGGGAATAGGGAGAATGGAGAGCACCCACCTTCTTATCCCAGCCACAGATCATACTGCCCATGGAGAGGTCCATGCCTCGATACTGGAACACCATGTTGGAGAGCAGTTTGGAGGCTGCTGACACTGAGATTCGCTCCCCGTTCCTCAGATAGTACAGCCTGGGTACAACAGGGTGGTGGGGGCAGCGGACTCAGAGGTGGCAGGAGAAGGCTAGCTCTTGGAGCAGCCCACTTGATGTGAAGGAAATAATTAAAGACATAAGCATTTGAGACGAGTGGTTTTGTAGGATCTAAGGATCAGGGAAAGATTTGGAATTTAAAGTATCCAAATCATATAAGAAATCCTAGCAAATGACACCATCCCACCAGGGTTGATGACGTCAGTGCTAAATAGCCGACAACTTACCTGGCTTATTGGCAAGAGTGCAGGCTGTGATTTGGGAGAAGGTTTTCTAATCACCAAAAGGCTGTTTTGTGAAATACTGCATTAGCACCAAGATGCTACATTAGCCCAGGGGGAAAGGAGGAGGAACAGTGATCTGGAGGTTCCAGGATCCACGACTGTCCACAGGGCTTAGGAGGGAGATAGGAGGCCTGGCCTACCTGCACTCCTTGGCCAGGAGACGCTCCCAGTACTGACAGTCTGCAGCACAGCCAGACATGGTGCCAAGCAGGTAAGGGTTAATCTCAATCACCTTGTTACTCCTTGAGGTGCCTGGAAGAAGATGGAGCTTTGAGAGAGTTGGATTGACCCCACAGCTCTCCCAGTGTGTCCGAAATCAATTATCTGCTTCTGCTTTGATGCAGATGTGGGGCTCCTGCTGAGAGAAGGGCCCAGCTCCCCAGATTCTGCCTGCTGGTGCGCGTGCGTGCACACACACACACACTCACAAATATAATTTCCAGCGGTAGCCCGAGAATCCACTGCCACAATCACTCCTTGCTGGAATTTGAAGGCCAAAGTGGTAGTGCCATGGTTCATCTCAATCCGAAGCTTCCTTTCTCCATTCCCACCAAGGGACTGGAAGAATTCAGTGGGCTAATGAGAGAGAAAAGGCACAGAAAGGGACACTGAAACCTTCTGAAACACAAGGCTCCAGGAAAGGTTTCACAAGAGTCTGGGAGTGAGGAGATGGGCAGAAATTCTCCAACCATTCAAAACTGGAACAGTTAATAACCAATCTCTACCAGAATATGACTTGGGAGAGGGAAAAGAAGAAGCACATGACGCCAACCTTTTCCATCTTCCAGCAGGATAGATATGAAAGGAAATCAATGCTAACCATAAGTAAACATATTAAGGGCGACTTTAATGGGTGTTTTTTTTTTCCATTCATGGGTCATTTAACACTCTCGACACGTTTTATTAATAATATCCCCAAGCGATGACCCAGACCTAGACGAAGTGATTGAGCCAAGACACACAACAGTGAGTGGCTGAGAGGAGGCTAACAAAGTTCCCCGGTTTTCCAAGGCACATGAGAGTCCCAGGAGAAAGGCTTCCTGATTCGTGATTCGTGATTCGTGATTCGTGATTCCTGTGTGAGGGAGAACTGGCAGGAAAGTTCTCTTGTCTCCCTCCACCACATCTCTAACTCTTTGCCCTAATCTGACTTTCTAACCCTCAGGCGGTCAGCCCCCGATTCCCACGTGGCCTCTTGCCTGGCACCGGGCCCTGGACGTGGCTCTCCTTCACTAAAGGATGGCCCCCTCTGGGTTTCCCGGCCTCTAGGTAGTCTCAAGGAGGACCCTCCCTTCCTCTGGGCCCTCCTCCCCGCCTCCCCTCCAGCCCGGATTCTCTTTACAGCCCCGACCTGCATTCCCCGGGGGAAGGCGAGCTCCGGAGATCGCAGAGAGAAGCTGTAGTGTCCTGGGTCGGAGCGAAGCTGCCTTCCCAGGGCCGGGAACGCGCAATCCTTCCGCTGCCCTCGGGGGGCTCCGCACACCTCCAGCAGCGCCATTGTCGCCTAGGACCCAGAAATCGTCGGAGGAGGAAGCGAAAGCGAAAGCCCGCAGCATTAAGGGGAGGGAACCAGAATTTTTTCTACATCCCCCTGCCCTTTCCAAGAAGAGGCCAGTGGGCGACTGGAGACCAGGATTATCATATCGGGAACAAGTTTCTCTGCT